TATTCTGTAGGTCCAACTTGGCTCCTGCTTTCACCAGCTCCACAGCAACATTAGTGTGACCATGTTTAACTGCCACCATCAGTGCTGAGTCTCCATCCTGTGTGATAAAAAAATATGTCTGTGTAGCAATAACAACACTACGTCATCACATGAAGGTCTATATTGGTTCAAACAAAACCAGTGTGACCGTGCATGCACTGAGGGTAAGAGTGGCTAATTTAGTTTAGAACCTTATTCTGTAGGTCCAACTTGGCTCCTGCTTTCACCAGCTCCACAACAATACTAGTCTGACCACGCCAGGCTGCTCGAGTCAAGGCAGAGTCACCATCCTGTGTGATAAAAGGACATGTCAGTGGCAGTGACTATACACAATGGGTGCTGCTGTAATACTGGAGGATAGGCACCATGATTGCATTAACTCACAGAATCTCATGGTAACATAATATTAGACAATATTGCATTAATGTTTCAGTGGCACAGCTTAAAAGTCTGTGAATTTTGGCATAATTGTTACAAAGTCACATTCATTTCCAAAAATTGGGCGTGGCCCATGAGTTTTCCGTGCGGTTCACCCTCAGAAACTGTCTCACCTCATCCTGGTGGTTGAGCTGAGCTCCTCTTGATATCAGAAGACGAACCACTTGGAGATGACCATACCGACTGGCCCATTCCAATGGAGTCTGTGATAACTAATGAGAACCAAGACAGCAATAGCTATCATGATGTGCGGAACTAACAAAATTAATTCCCTCGGCACGCATGCGCAGCGAGGGTTATGTCTGTCTGTCCGCGCGAGTTCTCGCACTACAGGCTACGAGGCGACCAATGAGTGGTACCAATGGGTTGTGACAACGAGAAGATGGATATTAATGTGGCGATTTTCCTGAAACAACAGCGTTCCAGAGATATGGCGTGAAAACAAGCGAAAAAGGCAACGTGCGGTTGATCGCGCACGTGCCCTCTCCGGCAGGCTATATAGCGCGCACGTGTCATGTCAATATTTCGCCGGAGCATGCGTCCAACAGTACTATCTAAACCTAAAAACTTGGATAAGAAAAATCCAAGTGTCACAACAGCGAATCCACACACCAAATTGGATTTTTTAATGCATTAGTGAAACAACGTAATGACTTTTCTAGTTGGTTGAGTACACAGCATGAAAACCATCACTGATAGAGAAGGTGAACTTCTTAGTGGTTAAAATGTAACATACCCAGTCTTTAGTCTGGATATCAGCTCCACTATTGAGAAGAGACACAACTCTCATCACATCTTCGTCTCTAACAGCAGCTGCAATCAGCTCATTATTCTGTACAGCAACAATAAATTTCTCATGCATGAGTGTGCTAAAGTAACCCGGTGAAGAAAGCTGTCTGTGCCAGTGTTTTTGCACTATGGTCTTCCCTACTTAGGCGTCAGATTACTCTGTCAGGTAGCGTAATAACTCATTTCTGTTGCCTACCATCTGTGGCTTTCCTATAGCACAGTGATAGTACACTTGCACAGCACAGGAAGCAAGGTTTGAATCTCCCACATTGATTTCTTTCAACTTTTCTCTCTCCCTCTGACTTACGCTCTCATCACACATGCCTAGCAACATGAGAATGGTAGATCTACAGATCTACAATGATCTACAGATTTTTCTCTGAGATAACCTAGTAAAAAGATGTAGGTGCCAGTGCTTACGTGTTAATTTTTCCTTATGAACATAATGAGAAACATTAATGTACAAACCCTAGGCACAATAGGAGTATGCATACTTGTGTACGTGTACTGGGAAATGCACATGCAGAGAAAGCAACAATAATAGATTTGCCTTGTGTTCTACCTTCTCTTACAGTACTAAGCTGAAAACTTTCACTGCTGTGATGTCAGGGCTGCTGCTATTGCACGCCAAAGGTTCACCTGAGCCTTCGAAAAATTGTCACACACAGTACCCCCAACTACTATAATTTAATGCTAACACCATTCGAATGCTTGCAAATTCTCATTTTAATGGTGTCCTTCAGTCAAAGTCAGCTGTTCACAGTATATTGGTTACACAATGACTTCCAGGGCTCAGGTGAACGCAGAGACATTAATTACATCACATGTATACTTTATTTGCGTACCAAATTATTACTCTGGGCCTGTATAAGGGATAGTGGATGGCCATCCACAGCAAACTCTGTGAGACGATGTGTGGTCATGAAGTCTGGAGTGATGGCTGCTAGCACCCAGCCCACTGCACTGGAAGGAAACCTAAGCCTAACAACCACACAGTTTCTGGACACTGCTCCAATGTAGACGCTGTGAGAGCAGAGATGTGAATCCTTGATTATAGCTTTGTTTAGCTTTCGGACTTCATGAAGGGTGCACTGCGATTCAGGCTTGTCAATCTTCACGACCATTTCCGAGAAACCATTAATTACTTTTTCATCGACTTCATTTGGTATCAGCCTTTTTGTACACATCTACGGTTGTTGCAATTTCGAACTCCTCGAGCAATTCGCAAAAGTTTTTCATTCGCTTTTGCAGTTCTTCTTCGCAGAAATCAATTACAATATGTAGCAAAATCTCATTGTTGCGATAATCGACATAGCGACAGAGTATGGCCATTATCGTTCGAGCATCTTTTGCTTCAATGATATCCTTTTCGTTTTTGTCAAAGAATTTGACATGGAGGGTTGCTTTACGAACAGGTAAGAGCAGAAGATGGCTGCGAAGCTCCTCCAAAATGGCTTTATTCTCAGATTCTTTGTTGCTCACTTCGATCACAACATCCGCATGCAGCTTTGAGAATGTTTTTCGAAGCACCTGAATGGTGGACTTGACTTGCTCCACAGTCCAAAAGGGTGGGTGATGGTGGGGAGGGTGGAGGTGGGACGGGAGGTGAAGAGGATGTGGTGGTGGATGATGGGGCAGGAGACTCCTCAGAACCAGTGGCTGGTGCAGTGGCTGGAGGGGTGGGGGCAGCAGGAGTGACCTCACTACTCTCACCTTCTGGAGTGGAGGTGAACCACTGTGTCCAACCATTGAACCATTGCTTGATGGTGTTGGTCCAAGAACGCCTTGTAGGGAGCGGAGAAGTAGTAGGTTGAGAAGTGGGAAAGGGAGTGGTGACAGGTTGAAAAATTGAGTTAGTTGGCTGGGGATCCTCAGGCTGGAAATCTAGCTGGGAATCCTCTGGCTGGTTGGAAAGATCGGCAACTTGGTGGTCAGCGCCTTTGTTCTCGACGCAACGTTTAAGTTTTGACACGAGCCCGGCGTACGCTTTATCTTTGGAAAAAATGGAGACGAACTCGTCAAACCGACGTCCATCTGTCGTTTGGAGTACTAAAAATACGCCGTCCATGAGCTGAGAAGCTTTTCTCGCAGGCGGGACCCCGCTAACGTCGAGTATTTCTTTAGCCACTCTCCTCGGAATGAACTCTTTCTCCACGAGGCCGTTTGCAAACCACTCTAGATTGCCTCCGATCGTCACCGTGTCAGTGATGGAAGTAAGGTTCGTACGAAGTGCCGCGATCTCCCCGAGCTCGCTGCAGTCGGCCATCTTTCAATGGGGGCGGGCTCGTAAACAAACACTAGAGCCACGCCCGCTCGGACTTTGACCTGATCGACTGCATGGCGTATCCAGAGCACTTTCGCGGCTGGCTGTTAAAGTGGACCAACTACATCAAGGGCTACCAGAAGAGATGGTTCATCCTCTCCAATGGACTCCTCTCCTACTACAGGTGGGAGTCACACACACACGGAGCTATCTAAGCAACCCTACTCGGGCTGATATTCACTATAAATTAGACAGCTCCAATGTAAATGTATTCTCTGTGTTTATATTCTCTTTATTTAATGCATGTTTGCCCTTCCCTCACCAATGTATGTAAACCCAGGGCCCAAGAGGAGATGGCCCACACATGCAGAGGTACAGTCAACTCGAGTGGAGCCTTCATTGACAACATTGACTCCACCAACTTTGTCATCACCAATGGACCTCAGGTAAAACCACTTGAATATAATATAACGAGATCCTCTGATGCTTATACAAACAGGCTTGGTATGTCAAAATAATGTCACATGCTTGGCACATGCTTTGCCTCATTAAATCTCCTAGTTCCCTTTAACGCCATTTTCTTGCATATATTATCATTGCTCTCTAGTTACTCATAAACACAGAACGGTCATTCTCCACTCGCACTCTTTAGCTAGCAAAAATTCATGTGAGATCTGCAGGCCAGTGATGCATACACTCAATGCAATGATTCATGTGTGTATCATGATGTGCAGGTGTACTATCTCCGTGCTAGTAGTGAGGTGGAGAGACAGAGATGGGTGACTGCTCTCACTCTCGCCAAAGCCAAGGCTGTCAAAGACCCGGAATCTGGTATATTATTCAACACTCACCAACTAGCCACATACATGCAGTCAACACATTGGTAATCAATAATAATTGATGATGAAGAAAGTGTGTAGGTCCATTGATATCGGCAAGTTGTTGCTTCTAAACACATTTTTGGTGGAGAAAATTGCCAGTAATGTTTCTTGAAGCTCGAAATAAAATGCACAACTAATGTCCCACCTTTACCGTGATCATTCATTTGTACCATTATGTCATGCTATTAAAACAAAGGTGTGTTCTCTTCTTGCTGCAGAGAGTGATGGGGAGGGGGAGATGGTGGTGGTGAGAGAGACGGGTGGAGGAGAGGGAGGGAGAGATGAGGGGATGACACAACTGAGGAAGAAGATGAAGGAGCTGAGTGCAACCCATGATGTAATTGTCAGGAACAGGTGATTCAAATTGCTACTTTTCTCTGCCTGTGCCCTCTCTTTTCTTTGTCATTCCCGCCTTCTCTCCTATCTCTCTCTTTGCTTCCATCTTAGTGTTCATCGTGCACTTGACAGTATTAAATCGCTTAAGTTTTCACACAAGTCAATTTGTGGGCTTGTTCTCTGCTTCCTAAGCATCACAGTAAACATTTAAGAACTAATTTTCTCTCTGTATTCATATGTACACTGTAGTCAGGTGCTACTGAAGCAGATCGCGACAGAGGTGGAAGGATCATCAAGAGGAGGTCATCTGGACCCAACTCTGAAGGAAAACCTCAGTCTATTCCGTCTCACCGCTGACGCCATGGTCAAGGTACATGGCAGACTACTATAACCCTGTCAGTGGACAGTTTCTGTTGTGTCACAATTATCAGAGAGAGATAACTTTTGCGTCACTGTAAACACAATCTCTAATACATAAGAGGCAGGTCTTGCTCTGGGTCTCAGCTTTACCAACATCACGTATACCAGAAGCATACTCTGCACATTGTGCAGTAGGACATAAGTGTTGTGGTTTAGATCCCTGTGTATCAGTGACGGTATCTGTGTGTTTATTCCTGATCCCCAGGCCTCAGAGGGCTACCTACTGCAGGCCCGGAGTGTGGAGAAGAGATGGCGGAGGGACATGCAGAGCGAGCGCGACCTGAGACTGAGGCTGCAGGAGAACATGGAGACAATGGCCAACCAGATACATGGTCTCGAGAACGACGCCAAGCGCTCCGTGGGTGGTGGTGGGCGGGGCCACCGGTCCGCAAGTCAGGGGTCACGAGAGGTCGTCTTGTCACCCTCTGCTGCCACTGACACTGGTAGAGGTGTGTTTTGATAGCTGAGTATTGTATAATCCTTCCTCCATGTACTGTCGTTCTACCATAAACTAACTTTGGTCAACATTAGTGAGTATATAGATTTCGACTAAGTGTTTTTCCAACAGTTTTGACGCAAAACAACATGTTTTGAGTAGGAGCATAGAATACCACACAAATGCAGGAAGTTTTAAGTGGTTGGGGATTCTGTGTTCATGGAAAAATTCCAGTAATCTGTTGCAGTTTCTTGCATGAAATTTAATCTGACTTCAAATGCATTGTTTTGTCTCACAAGGTGAGTCAGTATACCCATGCCTATGAGTCTCACTCTGCTTCTCTAAAACTTACTGTATACTTCCTGTAACACACTATACCTGGAATAACATTAAGGCATAAGATTTCAATTCAGTGCCTTACCACTTTTAAGTCTAACCACAATGTTGCTTTATGTACACATTTTAATTTGCACTATTTACTTTTTTAGCCTCCCTTACATAGGTCCGTTTTCTAATACATCACACATTAATACCATCTATGCTTTAAATTCAAATACTTCTTCCCTCCCGGTGGCCTCTTCTCTCTCCCTCTCCTGCCACAGGTAAGTATCAACCACCCCTGTCTTTCTCCAGAGAATGTCGAGGACCTGGTTTATGCCGACCTCTCTCGCGGCAGTGGCCGGCGAGGGGACATTAGAGGATTGACTCACGTGGCGTCCTTTGCCTGCTCTGTGTACGCCCAGACCTCCTCCAATGCTATCACTAAACGCGTTCAACCCTCTGCTGGGAGAGACTTTTGAGTGTGACCGCCGGGCTAGAGTGGCTGGAGATGCCTTCTGGAACAGTATATCTTTATTCTATGTGTACAATGTCGATGGAGCTATCTACTATCGCTCTTTCATGTAGATATAACACCCAGTGTTTAGGCACAATAATATACATGTAGTTGGTCGGGATTCTTGGTTAATGATGCAAGTGCTCACATTGCACATTGAGATATTCACAAAGGGTAGCTACCGGTATGTGTATGTAGATTGGTTTACTACTCCTTCCTCTCGCAGGTAAGTCACCATCCTCCGATGTTTGCGATGCATGTGGAGCACAAGGACTGGACTCTGTGGGAGGAGTACACAGTGGCCTCCAAATTCAGAGGAAAGTATGTCGCCTGCTACCCCATCGGGATAACCCACCTCATCTTCCATCGTAATGGTCAGAGCTGCCTATACTCTTCTAGTCAATGATGCTGCAAGTATTAAGCATGCACTACATATTCTTACATTAGTTGTTTTGTTTCTTCTTCCATTATTGTGCCTACAAAAAATGTGAAATTGTTGACACCTTTATTTAGCGGGGACAGCAAAATTTGGGTGAGATAGGGATAGGAGCAGCGAGATAGCAGATGTTACCATTCCAAACTCCAACAGTTGTCAAAGTATTCAGGATAGTTGGTTTTGTCTCTTCTCCATTCTTGTGCCTACAAAAAATGCGAAATCGGTACGGTAGTGGTAACTTTTTTGGTGTGTAGCTACTGTACATGTAACATCATAATTGTACTGCTTTTGGTTCACAAGGGTTGGAACAACTATTGGTTGCAAAGGTAATGACACTTTTACAAAACTATTGATACACTGTTTTTTTCTTTCAGGGGGAAGGGGAAGTAAGATAAAAACTTTGAGCTGTGGGGGCTACAACTTTTTATACACACAGTATAACACAGTATCTAGCTAGGGCGACAACTTTTTGAAGCCTTTCGTTTTTCCTGAGACGTTGTATCATTCATTCCCCTTGTGTTGGGAGTAGATTCGCTTCTTGTGGCATTCAACTCCCTTGTCTTAGTGGCCAGTGCACTTTTTACTGCAGTAAGCTCAGCTCTCTTAGTAGCCAGTTCACTCTTGGCTGCATTCAACTCATCAGTCTTAGCAGCCAGAGTGTTTTTGGTAGCGTTCAGTTCGTCCGTGTTGGTAGTCAGCTCAGTTTTCAAAATGGCAACATCGTTCTTTGTAGCATTCAACTCAAATTTAGTAGCAACAAGTTCATCTTTTGTAGACCTTAGCTCCACTTTCAGATCTTCCATGTCTTTCTTTTTATGCAAGTATGCAAACCTCACGTATTCTTGGTGCTGCTTCTTGAAGGCCTTCAGGTGTCCACCCATGTCTTTTCGTCGCACCATCTCGTTGCAGCCTTCTTCCCAATGCTCACATTGGATCGTTTCCAGAGGACACTCCCCGAGGTGCTGTTCCATGTCAGCTCTCCTGATCTCTCCAGACCGACACTTATTCTTGCAGGACAGAGGATAGTCTGGACACTCTGCGTAGTGACCTCTCTCTGGTGGTTTCTTGGGCTGTTTCACATCGGTGTGTGCTTGGCCAGTGATGGAAACATAGGTGCTGGCTTTCTTGCAGAACTTGCACTCGAATATGCGAAAGAGGCAGATTTTCTCGTGGCCGGTCAGCTCGCTGCGCAGCATTCTCCGTCCGCACGTTACGACTTGGTTATCGTCATTACATCCTTCGAGGTTGCATGCCACTTCCTCTAGTGGGCATTTCTTCCTGTGTGCACCCATTTCCCTCCCCTTAATCTCTTTTCCACATCCGTTGGGACATCTTGTGCCACGTTCTAAACACTCTTCCAAGTGAGCTTCTTTAGACCGTGTATACTTCTCTCCGCAGTACTTACACTCGCTCTCTCTCTGTGGACACGAAGAACTGAGATGCTGAGATAGTTTCGAGAGCTCGTCCTCCCACAAACAGTTTTTACTCGAGCGATTGACGCAGTAGATTCTGAGTTGGTTGATCTCACGTTTTAGTTGCTTGTCAAGCATGGTGTGGTACTTTTTCTTACGGCAATGTGGACATTCTCTGATGTGACTTCTGTTGCACTGCTGGAGACAGGACTTGCAGTAGTGTTGGCCGCAGCAATCAGTGAGCATTGGTTCTCGAAGAACATTCTGACACACCAGACAGTAGTACTTTGGATCTAGTGACTCGTTGACAAAGTCATACTCGTGGCCTCCATATCCGCCTTCTGCCATGGCAGCACGACTCACACATAGAGTTTGCAGCATCAACCGATTATTCAGCAATACAAATTGTTTTGTTACCATGGAGTCAGGTAGGTGTGGTGTAATGAATAACCTCTTATGGTAGTTTGATTATCATTAGTAGAGGATCTACTACCTATGTCAGCAGAGGGTGGCACTTGTTTTCCCATACATTTGCTTCGCTTATTCAATCTTCAAACTCTAATCTTGTAGGCAGCCACTATACGTGGACCAAAGTGGTGACCACTGTTCACACCATCATCATAGGCAACATGTGATGATCAGTCAGGACCACCACCATACTAAGCCTTAGCATGCACACATTACCACTCGTTCTTGCAGTCAGGTCCAATGAAGGTGACTAACCACAAGACAGGAGAAGAGGCTGTACTCACTTTCATGCCTATGCCTACTTCACGGAGAGAAGAGAAAGGTTTAACAGCCTGATCACATCAACTCAGAGTTGAAAATCTCGCACTTGCAGGGGTGACTGCGTGTTACTGTTGGTAAGATAGGATATGGAGTTACCCAATATAGGTGAATCATGCAAACTACCACTCTTGCCGCCCTGCTTCATAAATTCTCTTTGACCTAGTGGCGAATGAGCAGAAATGGATATCTACGGGGACGCATAGGGATGGGATTGTGTCGTGTTTTGTAGTTTGTTGGCCAATACAGTTTTCTTAATATCTTGCTGTGGTTCATAACTACCCCTTGTTTCTTCCCTTTTGCACTGAAAGCAATACCTATACCGCCATTTCACCGCGCACTTTTTCTTCCCGTGTTCTCTTTGTGACTGTTTCAGATTCCAGGGTACTGGATGAGTATCGGGAGCGTCCACTCACTGGGTGGAGGGAGAGGAGAATAGAGTTCCTCCGCAGACTCTATGGAGGAGCCATTCGCACAGGTGCCAGACGTCATTCTGGTGTAGGGGGTGTTATAACTATAGTGGTGTACTTTGAGTAAGAAGGGTAAGTCCGTGGGACTGTCCTTTCTAATGAATACTGATCCTGTACGTCGGATGACGCTTCCGTAGGAATGTGTAGGTGTATTCTACGTATAGACTTCTGGATCGTACTATACAAACTCTCCAAACGTGTGAATGTGTATGGAGAGGAGGAAAAGGGGAAAGTCTCTGGGACTGACCCCCTTGCCTA